CCCAGACTCTTGGTGAGCAGGCCCTTGATGGCGCGGAGCCGAAAGTCCTGTAGCGGGCCGCCTCGCGATGGCTCGGCGGATCCGAACGGGAACCAGGCCATCGCTATGTTGATGAGCGGCGCGAGCGGCACGGATGTCGGGACGAGCCCGGTCGCGTAAAAGCTAGCCCTCGCGACGCAGCCGCTCCCGCGCGGCTCGAGCCTCACGTCGAGAGAGTCTAGCCACTCCGCCTTTGTCCAAGTGAGAACATGGACCGCCGACGCGTCGGCTCGCGCGATTCTCAGCTCGGGCATCAGCAGCTTTGCCCGCCGGTCAGGTGTCAGGCCCTCGAGCACGGAAACGAGTGCGCCCGACACCTCCTCGGGGCTGCTGTCGGCAAACTCCCATCGATCCGTCTTGGAGTTTATGCCCGCTAGCTGACCCACCCAGTGGCCGGGAGCGATGACGTCCTGGATCGGGCCCTGGAGGGTTGAGAAGAAGGACGGCTCGGCGTGCGCGGCCAGGACGGGGACCTCAGCAGCAGCAGCAGCAGCAGCAGCAGCAGCGACAGCATGGCGGCGGGAGGTGGGTGGTGGCGAAAGCGTGAGCGCAGCCAGTAGCAGGGGCCACATTCGGCTGCAGAGAGCGGCGCGGAGCCGCTGACTCTCGTTTCAGCCGAACGCCGAAGTGCTTTTTCTTTTTTAATGCCGTGTCTTCTTTCCCCACATTCGCTGTCGTGCGATAATTGTTGTGGTTTGCTTCTCTTCTTCTTGGCGCCGCCAGGGCGAGCAAGAGCGCGTTAGGATTCCTAGTACAACGCCACTGCACAAGCCTCGTGCAAGCCCCCGCCTGTGTTAATTAACACCTCACTCACCCCCCCACGCGCTGGCGGTTCTAAGTTCTTGAGCACTTGAGCACTGGATAGGGCCGATTCCGCGTGGTACGGGACCCCTCGATCGTCTCGCCCTCCCTCACTGGTGTGTTCATCGGGGGGGGTCATAACAAACACGGTACAGGATCGAGGTGCACGCTGCCGAAGCAGTGTCGTCCCCCCTCTCCCCGACGGCGATGGCGGTGTGACCGATCGAGCTACAAGAGGAGCTCGTTCAGCAGGATCCGGGTTGGTCTGGCGCACTACCTCACTGGGCCTGAGATCGCACGACGCTTCCCGTCACCGTCTCGGGTTTGTGTGGGATCGAACCACTCCGGGATGGGCAAGCCCATCAATTTTCACTGTGTTTCTCCCCTGCACCTGCAGGGGATAACGGGGGAGGGGTTGGCTATATCTGGGACGGAGGGGAAGAGGAGGAAAGGGAGGACGGGGGGGGGGGGGGACTGAGGAGGGGAGCGGGGGGGGGGGGCTCAAAAAGCCAAACGCTGCTGTCATAGCAACTCGTAGTCGTATTACCCACACAAAGACTCGTAGCAACTCCCAGACGTATTACCCCCCCAGAGACTCATTGCAAGGGGAACCAGTGCCCTCCTCAGGGGGCCCAACCCTCACGCCGGGGGGGTCTCCTCCTCTCTCTCTCTCCCTCTCTCCCTCTCTCTCTCTCTCTCGCTCAGAAGAGATAAGACAAGCACGGGGGGGGGAAAGACGAATATAGCTGAGATGTCCCCGCCCTTATAATCTTCCTCCTACCACCGCCTGTGTGCGATGCCCCCGCGAGGCCTACTCTACAGGCTGATCTTAAGAGCCGTACCATCCTCCCAT